GTCTTTTCTGAAGGTTTAGTAACCCAGGCAGAGTGACAGCCAGGAGTTAGAGGACTGATGTTTCTCTTCAAGAGATGGAATCTCGCTGAGTGGTGTCAGGGAGGGTCTTCCTCACAGGATGATGGCTGCTTAGGCAGTGTCTGCGTGCTGGGGGGAGTGCAGTGAAATCTGGGCACGTGGGGGAGGAGTGGCAGACCCCCGACGTGGGGTGAGTCTCTGAGCCTTGGCTCCTAATCTGTGGAGAAGGGATGGCAGTGACTGTGTGTGTCCCGAGTTTGCACTGTCCTGGATGCCTGTCGCTGCTGCCACGGTCATCTCAGGTCTAGGAATGCCCTGCATTCAAACCAAGGCACCTTGCAGCTTCTGTCCACCTCTGACCTTTATGGTGCTGGGTTCTGTACCCAGAGGGAGGGTTGTAGCAGGCCCCGAGTTTTCTTTGTTAAAGCTTTTTGAAAATTCAAGTTGAAGCATTTAAAAAATTTTGTTTATTTATGTAAGAGGCTGAGTGACAAAAAAGAGAGAGAAATCTTCCATCCAGTGGTTCACTCCCCAAATGCCTACAACAGCCAGGGCTGGGCCAGGCCAAAGTTAGGAGCCCAGAGTTCCTTGCAGGTGTCCCATGTGGGTGGCAGGGACACAAGCACTTGAGCCATCACCTGTTGCCTCCCATGGTGCTCATGAGCAGGAAACTAGATCTGTCGCTTGGAGCAACCAAGACTTAAACCAGACTCTCCAGTGTGGGATGTGGGTGTCCTAAGCTGCAGCCTAACCTGCTGCACCACAGTGCCTGCCACAGTTGAAAGCATTTCAATGATAAATTTTAGCTTACAAATTATGTATGTTCCTTTTAGAAATCTTGAAAAATATAAATGGATAGTAAAAAAATAATTCCTCATCCTGCATCCTAACTGTGCATAGACAGGCACACTTAACATTCTATGTGTTTATTTAGTACTGTATATTCTTTTTAAAAATTGGATTGATTTTAAAAATGGAATTTATTGGCTGGCACCGCAGCTCACTAGGATAATCTGCCTGCCTGCAGCACCGGCACCCCAGGTTCTAGTCATGTTTGGGGCGCCTGATTCTGTCCTGGTTGCTCCTCTTCCAGTCCAGCTCTCTGCTGTGGCCCAAGAGGGCAATGGAAGATGGCCCAAGTGCTTGGGCCCTGCACCCGCATGGGAGACCAGGAGGAAGCATCTGGCTCCTGCCGGAGCAGCCAGAGCAGCCATTTAGGGGGTGAACCAATGGAAGCAAGACCTTTCTCTCTGTCTCTCCCTCTCTCACTGTCTAATTCTGCCTGTTAAAAAATAATAAAAAATTTTACAAAATTTAATTTATTTTATAAATCTGTATTCTGATTTTTGAAGTAGCATAAGACTTTTCCATATTATGAAGGTTTTCTGGGAGTGAACTAGAAAATGGGAGATCCCTCTCCTCTCTCTCTTTTTTTTTCTCTCTCTCTCAGCTTCCTTTGCCTTTCAAATAAGATGAAAATAAATTAAAATTAAATGCCTGTGATAGTGATTTGTGCTAGAGACTTGATATCTATATATGTACACATTCACACATACATAAACACATATCCCAGTAAATAAATAAATTCTTAACCATAAGACCCAAAACTCTAAAACGACTAGAGGAAAGCAGAGGTAAAGGTCCATGGCATTGATCTGAGCAGTAATTTCTTGGATGTGACCCCAAAGGCGTGGGTGGCAAAAGCAAAAATTAGACATATGAGATTGCATACAAGAAAATCCTTCTCCAAGCAAAAGAAACAGTTGGGATCTCTCTGTCTCTCCTTCTCTGTCTGCCTTAACCTCTCTGTCTCTGACTTTCAAAAAAAATTAAACAATTTTTTTTTGTAGTAAAATAGGTCAGGAAAGCAAGGAAGATGGAAGGGGGGATAACAGAACAAGATACTTTTCTTTCTCTGAGGTTGGTATCTGAAGAACGGGGGGTTATTCAGGGTGAGTGCAGACGCGTTAAGGGGCTGTGGGGGCCCTGCCGAGACCCTCGGTGCCTCCCAGGAGTCAGGCAGGAGCAGGAAAGGACACAGGGTGCCGGCAGGTTCAGCGGCATCAGGCACTGAGACCACAAACGCAGTCCTGCAGAGAGGAGGGTGCACCAAGCACCGCCACTGCCAAAGCAAGCTGGGTCCAACACTTCGGTGCCTAGTACTGTCCCCCTGTGTCCTGCATCCTCAGGACGGCCCCAGGAGGGGAGAACCAGGGTTGACACTTGTGCAGCACCTGCTAAGTGACAAGCGCTGCTCTGGGTTCTCAGGCACGGGGGATGTCACAGTGAAATAAACAAATTACCAGAGCACCCACCCCGATAGCCCTCCTGTGGTCACTGGGACAACTTCATATTGAAAAAGAATGTCAAGTGCCTCACACCTGGTGCATGAAATGAGCTCCAGGGTGGGAGCTCTTCCTAATTTTAAGATAGAAAATAACTCTACCACCGGCACAAAGAAAGAAAATGTTGCAGGCACCAGAGAAGCATTCCATCCGCAGAGCAGGCATTCAGTAGGCTCAGTGGGCCCAAGGTGAAGCTGAGGCGAGAATGGAAATAGATGCTCTTTAATATCCACAGGCAAACCTGCTGCTGTCACCATGGCCCCACACAGGAGCCTTGCGCACGTTCCCAGTTTCTAGCGCTGGCAGTCATCTGTCACCACTGGGAGCCTTGCCTTGTACAGCAAAAGCACCAGGAATTATTCCTTTTGTATATTCTGGAAGCATATGGTTTGTTTCCATTAATTTAATTCCACATGTAAATGTATGGCAGCTTGGGAGGAAACTAAAGAAAGAATGATGGCTTTAATTTTTCACTGGTAACTGTGTTGCTCTGAGGTGGCTACACCGGGCAGTGTGTTACATGATTATGGTGCTTCTGCCTCCTAAGGGTGACTACACCAAAGCTGAGAATCAGGAGACTTTGGTCCTCCTGCTGGTTCCCCGCGCACCTGCTATGTGACCTTAGTTAGTCACCTCATCTCCCTTTACTTCCCCTGTCCATAAAAAGGAGGAGAGTAACATAGACCCCAGCCATCCTAGGCCTAACTAGAGACAAGGGCCTTTGGCCCTTTGGGAGTTAAACAATCTATGGATAATCTTTCTCGCTCTGTCTGTTTTTCTGCCTTTCAGGCAAACGAAAGTAAATTTCTGGCCGGTGCCGCGGCTCACTAGGCCAATCCTCCACCTGCAGCGCCGACACACCGGGTTCTAGTTCCGATCAGGGCACCGGATTCTGTCCCAGTTGCTCCTCTTCCAGTCCAGCTCTCTGCTGTGGCCCGGGAGTGCAGTGGAGGATGGCCCAAGTCTTTGGGCCCTGCACCCCATGGGAGACCAGGAGAAGCACCCGGCTCCTGGCTTCGGATCGGCGCAGTGCACTGGCCCCAGCGCACCATCCGCAGCAGCCATTGGAGGGTGAACCAAGGGCAAAGCAAGACCTTTCTCTCTGTCTCTCTCTCTCTCACTGTCCACTCTGCATTAAGATTTATTTTATTTGAAAAGCAGAGTTACAGAAAGAAAGACACACAGAGAGAACTCTTCCATCTGCTGGTTCACTCCCCACATGGCTCCAACTGTCAGAGCTGGACCAGGCCGGAGCCAGAAGCCAAAAGCTAGGAGCTTCCTCTAAGTCTCCTACAGGGACCCAAGCCCTTGGACCACCTTCCATTGCTTTCCCAGGCATACTAGCAGGGAGCTAGATCAGAAGTGGAGCAGCTGGGACACAAACCGGCACCCACATGGGATATCAGTGCCACAGGCGGTGGCTCAACCAGCTACACCACAGTGTCAGCCTGAAAATAAATGTATTTAAAGATTTTTAAGACTGACCAGGTGTGGGCAAGACCCAGTGGAAAATTAAACGCAAGGTAGGGAAGAGAAGGTGACTGGGCTGCACGTCTGCCAATTGCCACCTGCCGGTTGCTATGCAAGTCACCCACACCCTGCATCACCAGCAGTAAACACCCAGTGGGGCTGCCCAGCACACAGACGACAGACAAGAGTGTTTGCTCCCGGGGTTGCACTGGGACTTGCTGGGAAGAAAGCTGGGGAACTTTCTGGGGTGATGGAAATGTTCTGTATTATATCTTGATGAGGGCTTAGATTACACAATGACATGGGCCAGCATCTATTGAAACTCATCAGATGGAACATGTTAGACCTGCACATTTCAGTGCATGTGCATTTTATCAAAAACATTGAGCTCAGAAGCACTCACAGGTGCTTCTGAAATCCGGAACTTTAGACAAGATACTGGGCGGGGTGGGGGGTGTAGGTAGGACGCCAGAGAGATGTGTTACAAGGCAAATGCAGCAAAATGCTAAGTATGGAAGCTACACAACAGGCACACAATTGTTTAGATAGGATTCCTGCAAGTCTGCAATGAATACTGTCCTGATAAAAGGCAGGAAAGAAAGGGATGGCTGACACGGGACTGAGTTCCAGAAAAGTTCAAAGGCACAGCAACAGCAAAGGAAACAGCAGCCCAGAAAGGTGGAAAAGCTACACCTTGGGCTTGGCACTGTGGTGCCGAGGGTTAAGCAGCCTCCTGCAATGCTGGCATTCTTCGGAGGTTTGCCCAAGTGCTTGGGCCCCAGCTATCCACATGGGAATCCTGGATGGAGTTCCTGGCTCCTGGCTTCAGCCTGGTCCAGCCCTCAAGTGCTGAATCAGGAGGCGGCCCTGGGCTGTAGGAACCACAGGATGGGCCTGTTCCTGTCTCCCAGTCTTCCACTCAGTAACCAGTCTGCTGAGGATCTGACCCCTGTTCAGATCCAGTAATGGGGACCAAGGGCACGAAGGGGTCAGCCTCATGCCTGTAGCATGTGGTGTTTGATCTCCACCCCCACCAGGACTGCACCAAACCAAAGGAAGCTTTGAGGTTTTCTGAACAGTAGCTATGTAAAATATCACTTGTGCAAGGCAACAACGCAACCTTCCCAGGTCTGACGCACTGACCACACCTACCCTTGGTGGGGAGCAGTTTGGAGGTGACCTGCAGTGTCTCCAGGGGTTCCAGGCCAATGTTTTCTAAGGTGACGATGAGTTGATGAGTCTCCCCGTTGAACAGCTGCATAGACACGTTGGTAGATATCTCGTCACCAGAGGAAGGCTGCAATGAGTGTGCCGATCTAAACCAAAAGCAGGGAGAATAAACTGAAGGAAGAAACCAACGCTGTGCAGGAATGATTCACATCAGGGGCAGGTGCTGTGGTGTAGTGGGTAAAGCCGCTGCCTGCAGCACCAGCATCCCATGAGTGCCAATTCAAATCCCAGCTGCTCCACTTCCAATCCAGCTCTCTGCTAATGTGCCTGGGAAAGCAGGGGAAAACGACCCAAGTGCTTGGGCCCCTGCACCCATGTGGGAGACCCAGAAGAAGCTCCTGGTTCCTGGCTTTGTCTTGGTCCCAGCTCCAGTCATTTGGGGAGTGAACCAGCAAATGGAAGATCAATTCGCTTGCTCTCTCTCTCTGTCTTTCAAATACTAAATTTAAAAAAAAAAAACTGATTCACATCAGGTAAAAGGACGACCACATTTTGGCATTTCAGAAATAGGAGCTAGAGAATCTTGGCTTTGAATGAGAAATTTGGGAGCCAACCATGCTAAGAACAAGTCAGGTTCTGTAAGCCAGGCATATGACGCGCCTCGGCTCCAGGCTCCGATCAGAGGCAATGTTTTTTCCCAAACCAAATCCTGAGAAAAAAAAACAGCACAACAGGTTGAGGCGATTTCCTATGTGCCATCTATAACAGTGTTCCTCACACCTAGGTCAGCGAAGGAAAGCCGATGCACAACCTCCCTGCATGACCCCTGTGCAGCTTGCACATCAGTCCCTCCTGGGGGAAGGTTTCGGGAGGTAACAAAACTCAGCCAGAACTAATCACTGGCCATCTCGCACAGCAGGGTGTCCAGGCCCTCTGTGCTGCAGGGGACAGGGGCGGAAGGAGGCACCCACAGTGCAGGAGCCCCGGAGCCACGAGGAACGGCGTCAGAGTGAGACTGCAGCTGGCACTGCTGCAAAGGCACACTCGGGACATGGCACTGGGACCCAGCTCCCACCAGCAGCACTGTCCTCCTCAGCCCTGCGCTGGCCCCAGAGCCTTCCCAAGGCAGGAACGAAGTTTCTGTCTGTTTGCTATCAGCTCCTTGCCATACACCTAGTGTCTAATAGGTACTCACTAAGAATGCACTGAACAGACTGATAAGCACCTCAACTCTGAACCTCCTGTGTGGCATACAAGAGCATCTTGTCAGTGTCTGCCCGAGCCCAGGACAGAGTGACCACTGTGTGTTCAGCGGCTGTTTGCTTGGTGCCTGGCCTGGTGCAGCATCTCTCAAGGTGCGGAATGCAGGGGCTGGTGTTGTGGTGTAGCAGGTGAAGTCTCTGCATGCAGCACTAGTATCTCTTAATGGGTGCCAGTTCAAGTCCCTGCTGCTCCACTTCCAATCCAGCTCCCTGCTAATACACCTGGAAAAACAGTGGGAGATGGTCCAAGTATCTGAACTCCTGCCACCCACATAGGAGACCAAAATGAAGCTCCTGGTTCCTGGCTTCAACCTGGCCTTTGTGGCCATTTGGGGAGTGAACCCACAGATGAGACCTCTCTCTCTCTCTCTCTCTCTCTCTCTTTCTCCAGGTGTGTGTGTCTGTGTGTGTGTGTGTGTGTGTTTCTCTGTAACTCTGCCTTTCAAATAAAAATAAATAAGTCTTAAAAAAAGAGACTGGAAGGAAGGCACAGCCCCATTGTGCCCACACACAAGCCATCAGGCCACGGGCCTAGCATCATTCCTCCTGCCAGGCTCTGTGGCCCCCCAATGCCCACAGGGTTCTTCTCTTTTGCGTGACTGACCGACAGGGAGGCCTGTGTCCACTGTGCCATGCGCTGAGCTCACTTCTGTCTCTGGGGAGCTGCCTCTCCAGGGCTCTGCATGGGTCCCATCCTGCTGTTCTCAGTCGTATTTCACTCCCTTCTTTACGGTCTGTGTTTGACCATGCTTTGTAAATCCCACACTTTCTATGGAGCCTTCCTGAACCCCACAAGACAGGGTCAGCGTCCCCTCCTCTGGTTCACATTACAGGAGCAGTCAGCAAATCCCAATGATCACACCAACCCCCTAAAGCCCCCATACCCCCGACAGGGAGCTCTTCTAAAGGGTCATGGCCTAGGTCAGGGTCCTGGAGCACAAGGTGGTGTTCGCAGATGCTGGTGAGTGCATTTCACCAGTCACAGGGGCCTTTATAGCAGATTAGTTACAATCAACACCTAATTAATCAAGAGTCACTTGAAGAAAATACTTATTTATTTATTTATTTATTTAAAAGGCAGAATTACAGAGAGCAAGAAAGCGCACTTCCATCCACTGGCTCACTTCCCAAATGGTTGCAAAGGCCAGGGTTGGGTCAGACCAAAGCCGGAGCCAGGAGCTTCTTCTGGGTCTCCCACGCAGGTGCAGGGGCCCAAGCACTTGGGTCATCTGCTGCTGCTTTCCCAGGCCATTGCAGGGAGCTGGATTAGAAGGAAAGCAGCTGGGACACAAACCAACACCCATATGGGATGCCAGTGTTGCAGGCAGCAGCTTTACCCACTACACCACAATGGCCAGCCCAGAGAAATAGGGGGCCTTTTGAAAAATATGTCTTATACCATTTTTCAGTAAGAGATAAAAGGCAGCCATCCTGGCCTTCGGTGCCCATGCTGAAGCATGTGTCGGGAGCATGCGTCAGTGCGTCTCCACTGCTCAGCTGCACCCTGGGTGTAAATGGGCCATATTTGGTTCCTATGTCAGGGCCCTGCTTGCCTGTCTTGCTCAGCGGCAGCCCAGGTACAAATGTGCCACATTTTGTTCAGCCACTTGCCAGGCAATGGGCATCCAAGTTCTGCCTGCTTTCTGGACTATTACAAAAAATGCAGCTGTGAACATTCATATACAAGTTTCTGAGTCACTGTGTGCTTTCCTCGGCCTTGGGTAGACACCGAATTTCTGAGTCATATGGTCAATTTACGTTCAACATTTGTAGAAACATGGCAAGCGTGCAGGCTTCTCCAGCACCACACATGGCTACCGCCTGTCTTCTGAGGACAGCCACCTTGGCAGGTGTGAGCAGGAACCCCACACGGTACCAGCTCCAGAAAGATTGATGATGCCACACACCTTTCCAGGTTGCTCGTTAGCTCCTGGGAAGTCTTTCATGGGGAGAGAGCTAGCCCATACTTCTGTCAACCTTTCTAATTTAGTTGTTTGCCTTCTTAGTTTGGGTGTTAAGTAGCAGATCCTTACCAGAAACATGATGTACAAATATTTCCTTCCAGCCTGTGAGTTGTCTGTTCATTTTCTTAGTGGTATTTCTGGAAGCACAGCAGTTTTTAATTTTGATGAAGCCCAATTTATCAGTGTTTTTTTCTTTGTGGATCTTGCTTTTGGTGACATGTCAAAGAACTCTTTGGCTAATACAAGGTCGTGAAAACTATCACCAGCTTTCTTTTCAAAGGCTGGTGCTCTGAGCTCTCACAGTCAGGTCTGGGATCTGCTTTAGAATTCATGTTTCCTGCATTTCATTGCATTCCCCAATCACCCGATGCTTTCTCCACCTCTGACAAATGCTCCCAGCTGCCCACTGTGCATGGCTAACTCCTGCTCCCAGCCCCTCACGGCCACCAGTGGGGACCGGAGGGCAGTGGCCATGCTGGTTCTGCCTTCTCCCTCTCTCCCACTGAACACAGCCTCCTTGAGCACCAGGCCCCAGAATGCTGGGCCCACGGTTTCAGCTCTGGCGCCTGGCCCACTGCCTAGCAAGCAACAAGCATGTATCAGACACACAAACCAGTTAAAACCTTTTAGAAAATCTCAGACATCCTAAAAATAGCCAAAGGATGTCCAAGAAGTGTCACCCCTGAGGGCAACAACTGAGAACGGCCCAAATCCAACAGCAAGGAAAGGGCGGTTATGCAATCCTGAGATATCCTCAGGTTGTCCTTTTTAAACGCAACTAGAAACATTTTTTAAGACTCTGTGAAAGTGTGAGGAAAAGCTTATTAATGTGATTTCACAAAAACTCATCAATGACAGTGTGTTCAGACAAGTGTTTTCTAAAGTGGCAGGAAGCACCTCCAAGCATTTACAATGACTGGCTCCAGGCCTCCCAACAGCCACTTCCCTTTCTCCTTTATGCTTCCCTGTGATACTGAAAATCTAAAACAAAAATAAAACAATCCCATATGGGTGCCAGTTTGGGTTCTGTCTGCTCTTCTCCACTCAAGCTCCTGGCTAATGGCCTGCGAAAAGTAGCCCATGTGTTTGGATCCCACGCCCACATGGAAGACCCGGATGAAGCTCGTGGTTCCTGGCTTCAGCCTGGCCCAACGCTCCCCGTTGCGGCCATCTGGAGAGTGAACCAAAGGATGGAAGAGCTCTCACTCACTCTGTGTGTCTCTCCCTCTCTTTGTGACTCTTTCAAAATAAATAAATATTTCTTTAAAAACTAAAATAAAAGAATTCTGTCAAAGAGAAGAGTGATTCTTTTAGATGCCCTAAGATCCTGACTTTGTTTGGGAAGAATAATTTCACATTTGGTCCTAGCCTTAGTATGGGACATCTTGACTGCTCCAATTTGCTCTGGGCAAAACGGATGAACTACTGTGGACTCTCAAGGCCCCCTCCTGCAGATTCTGGGCCTGCGAATTCTGGACATATGCAGAGCCTGTGCGCCTCACGAGGGAAGGCTCCCCAGGGCTGCTTCCTGCCCGTGGCTGGACACCTGTGCTCACCTGGTACCTGGGCAGGGAGGTGCTGATCTGCAGTCTTGGCAAAGCGGGGATGACTTCCACCGTAGAGCCGCTGGTCTTTATTCCCGGGAGTTGGTCCCGCAGGCAGTCACTGACAACACCAAAGACGGTGGTGTGGTAACCTGGGACACAGGAAATTAGAGACCTCACAACTCCCAGCAAAGTTCCATGCCCCATGTCCACCTTCCTGTCCACTGCTGAAGTCCCCAACCAGCAAGGGAAACCCTGCAGACGACCTGGGTCCTGGTGCTGGCTCCGTTACCTGCCAGTCCCTGCCCACAGCCTCAACATCCCTCGGGCTCCTCCTTTGTGGTGGGGGTTACAACAGCACCTGTACTCCCATCCCAGCAGGCTGACTGGACCCAAATGGGAAAGCTCCTGTAAGCCATCAATCTCTGCACAACCCGTAGTCAGCATCTCAACCCGGGACTCACTTGCTTTTCAGATTTATCCATCTCCATAGTGAGGATGGCAGTTAATATTCCTTCCCGGGACATAATGTAATTTAATGAGTATTTGAAAAATGCTTCAGAACCTTCTGTTGAGAGACGAAAGTTCAAGAGCCAATTATTATTATTGCAGCAGCTTCGTGATGGGGCGAACTGGCTGTGTGTGTGTGTGTGTGTGTGTGTGTGAGCACTGCCGTTTAAGATGAGCAAATTTCCCACTGGTGAGATAAGCACTTGAAACTATTTAAGCAAAGCTGTAGAACAGCTTTTGAAATTTAGCTAATTATTGTCAACAGCATTTACTGTGCAACAAAATGAAACAATACCCAGTGGCTCGAGGCTCAGGTGACAACCTGCCTACACTTGTGTGAGCCTGGGGTGTGCTCAATGGAGAAGCCAGCATGGCTTTCAAGGGCTCCCGGGGCCCCAGCAGCCTCCTCGGTCCTCCTGAGGTTCCTGCTGGCTGGGAGCTGCTCTCTCAACACCACTCCAGCTCACCCTCCCTCAGAGGGTGGGCTTGTCAAAACACCCCCTGCAATGGGCAAAACACTATTCTCCCCACAAATCCATACCTGGAACCAGGGTCTCTCGCATTTCCCTTTCAACAGGAACCTGGTATATGTTTTGCCTGCTGAGCAACCACTATTTTATAACCCCTAATTAGAATCAGGCCTTTCCTTACCATTGCTGAAAATGGCTGTCACATAATAGTCTGATGACAAAGACTTGCGGTCCACAATTACTGTGCACAGCAGTACAGGGTCAGCCCGTCTAGCTTTGTGCACAAGACACACCAAAGAACAATGCCAACTGCTCTGCACAGAGATGCACAGCTCAGGGACCACTAAGTCCACACAGGTAGTGGAGGAAGTGGAAAAGGATAGGGCACTTGCAAGACAGCAAAGGTAGAGGAACAATGTGTAACCCAGCAGGAAGGCTCGGCAGAGGAGCACAGAGATGGACCACACAGGGCTGGGGAACTCGGCCTGATGAAGAGGGAAAGTGACTCCCACTGGTTGACCACGATGCCTTCAGAGGAGAGAGAAGGGTCTCAGAGGAGAGACCGCTTTGGGGAGGGGAGGCAGTACATTTGGGTTGGACGTGTAGAACACGCATGTCCCACCTGCTGGACACCAGGGGGATAGCTGGGAAGTGCTGGGGCGCAGGCCAGGGAAGGGTACCTGACCCCAGGAGTGGTCAGCAGTCTACAGGGCTGTGAGGCAGAAAAGCACTGTGGGGCTGGGGACACCCTCACCAGCGGTGACGTACGGAGGACAGAGAGGAGGACAGGAAACACAGAGCGAGGAGCACCTGTCAGAGGGCTGGACTGCAAGGGGACACCTGCACGAGACCAGCAAGACTGAGGAAGAAGGGCCAAAGAGACCGCAGAAAATCTGGAGGGTGTGGTGTCACCGAGGCTGGAGGACACAGCTCGCCACACATGCAGGGTGGCAAACGAGCACTAAAGCTCCAAGCAAACCAAACCACTGGTCCCAGGTTTAGGCAGAAAAACGCCACTAGTGATGCCACAGACAGGTGTTCTGGTGAAGGGATAAGGGTTAAACTCAGGACGCGGAGGGGTGCAGGAACGTGGCACTGGTGGCAGAAGCGACTCAGTGTGCACAGCCAACTCTCCCAAGAGATCCAGCAGAAGACAGGGGCTTCCTGAGAGCACATGGGACATCGTGGCATCAGGAAAGGTCAGGATGCAGAGGTAGGAACCAAGCTGTTGGAAGACTGTCTGGAGGAGGAGGCAGACAGAGCACAGGAAGGGCTCCTGCCCACCGCAGCAGGAGCATGGCAGGTGCCAATCACACTCCAACAACTTGCACCACATCCCAAGGAAAGGCAGTCTTTCCCCATCCCTTGATGGACGAGGACTAACGAGATGGGTGAGAGGCTCTGGACCCTGGTGTACGGAATAGCAGTGTGGCAGCCCGTCAACAGCAGCAATCAGAAAAGCCCTTACCATTCACGGTGATCGTTCCAGTCGTCTGTGGGACCCCTACGAGCGTCACCAGGTACAGACCAGACTCGGCCGGAAGGGAGAGCGCTGCGGGGCGCGACTCGAATTCCACTCCGCTGGTCAGCAGCCCCTGCAGCAAGACACAGAGCAACATGAGCAGGACCAGCCTGCACCGCACACCTGGCAGCCCAGAACAAGGCAGTGGAAGGCTGCGGCTTCTTAGAACCCACAGAGAACTGCAGAGACCATGCACACGTGATGCACGGGGCAGTCAGATCAACAGCCACTGCCCTTGATTTTGGTCCTCTCTACCATGTTTCTGATGTTTGCTTTGCTTTCTTCTTGTACCAAATGGGAATATGAACACAAAGGAAAATTTTTATTTATCTTTTTTTGAAACACTTATATTTATTTGAAAACAAGAGGGAAACAGAGACAAGAGAGATCTACTGTTTTACTCCACTAATGGCTGCAATGGCTGGGGCTGGGCCAGGCCAAAGCCAGGATCCAGAAGCTTCCTCCTGGTCTCCCACAATCTAAAAGATGTCAACAATCACCAGTCTACTATTGGAAAATAAAATGTTTAAAAAAATTAACAAGACACCAAAAATTCCAACTATCTTGGAGTAAATCTAACGAATAACGTGCAAGATTTCATCATAGTTACAGAACCCTGATGAGATAAATTAAAGAACTCAAGACACAGAGAGTCCTGCCCTGTTTGTGGGGTTCCGCTTTCCACAGTTTGCAGTCAAGGCAACCCTCAAACTCTCAGGTCCAGGGCCGGCATTGGGGCATAGCAGGTAAAGCCTCTGCCTACAACACCAGCATCCCATATAGCTGCTGGTTTGCATCCTGGCTGCTCCACTTCCGATCCAGCTGCCTGCCCATGTGCCTGAGAATACAGCAGAAGATGGCCCAAGTGTTTGGGCCTCTGCCACCCATGTGGGAGATCCAGACAGAACTCCTGTCTTCAAGCCTGGCTCAGCCCTGGCTTGGGCGGACACTTGGGGAGTGAACCAGCAAATGGACTCTGTGACTCAATTTTCAAATAAATAAATAAATAAATAATCTTAAAAAAAAAAAAACAAACTCTTTTATCTGTGGCAGGACAAGGCATGTGAGTGGGTGTGCTGAGAGGAAGGGTGCAAACATGGAACGCAGGAAGACAAGATGCTGGACCTCGGTGTGAGTTCAGGATGTATGAAATCTGCATGCACAGATGTGTGTGTGGTGTAGACAGCTGGGTGTGTGGAATGCACATACACTGTATCTAACTCTGTGCACAGGAGACGCCTGCAGCAGAGACACTCTGGGGGCAGTGAGCACGCCTGCCGCCCACATGTGAGGCAAAGGCGTGAAGTGATCTGCGTGTGTGAGTGTGGAGGGGGTGCAGTGGGCAGGGCACACTTAGTGAAGCTGATCGCATGCCTTTCATCTCTAACAGACACACTGGCTTCTCTGTCTTCATAGAACAGCCAGGGCGGTGTGGCCACCGCTGCCTGCCTGAAATGCCGGTGGCTTGTGCACGTCTGAAGTGTTCCATGAGTCAGCTTTCGACACAGCACCATGGTATGCTGCCTATATCCAAGTGGTGGTTTTCTCTTGTCTAAGTCTCTACCCTTCCTGATTTGTTAAAATATGTAATTTATTACTTTTAAACCAGGTAAAAATGCTACTTTTAAAATGAAAAAAAAATGTATAAGAAACAGCAGCAATCATCTGACACTTTAACTACTTTGTGGTAAATTCCCCCTTGGATTCCAAGAGCCAGACAGCCGCAGCAGAGGCTGACCATGGCCATGTCCTGAGGCCAGTGAACCCTTGTGCAACAGTTGGGGGAACACTGGTCCTCAGTCTCAGGACTGCTGGCTTAACACAGGCTTGGGGAGCAGTCACATGCAGCAGGGCTGCCCAACAGTCCTGGCTTGCGGAAAACTGTGGCTCCACCCGGCAGTCTGGCCCAGCCAGCAGGGGCGTTTCTCCCAGGCAGGCGCCATGCATCCCCAACACAGCTCATTGTGTTCACACCAGGGATAAGGCCTATGGGCCTTCGTATCCCCCGGGTCCCACGCACCCTGTACCTGGCACAGGGCATGGCCCTCAGTGAGACACCAGCAGGAAGAGTCTGGTTCTCACCTGGAACACCAGTTATGAAACTGGTCGCAGTACAGAGAACCTTGGGAACGGATCCCATGTAGTCTGAAGGCAGCACAAGTCCCCCAAACAAGCATGGACCCAGGGCGTGAATCTTCCACACCCTACATGGTGCAGTAACACAGCACCTCTCTCTACAGCTCCCCCTGCGCCTCAATCCCTGTGTCACCTCACAGCAGCACAACAATCTCCAGTAAGCCCCTGTGAACTCCAAAGTGCTGACTTCCAGTCTCACAGCCAATGGGCAAAGCTCTGTGCGTGTACAAGCCCAAGGTTGCTCTGTGCTGTCTACTCGGCAGCAAGCATGAGACACGGTAATGACAAAACACGGACTTCATTCACCAAACGCTTACTATCTTGGGCAAAGCAGACATGTGTGCCAGAATTAGTGCCTCTAACAGTAAGCAAAGACGCATTTTAGTGACATGCTGGGGTTCTTGGTCACAGAGGCCCCTGGCGGTGGTACATACCATGTTCTGCACTCGAAGCTCAAACAGCATGGGGTTGTACACCATCAGCTGGACTTCACACACGTCCCCTTCAACCCACTGGAAATCTAGACACACACACAAAAGAACCCTGGGGTTAGCAGGTAGTTTTGAACTTCCCATGGGGTTTCAGATCAGCCCGCTGACGATTTTCTTCCCACAAAGGTGGTGGCCGCCATGCCCATTGTGAGGTGGGAAGTTCACAGCTTGGTGTGCCTTGCTTTCTCTGAAACCACGGAAAGCAAGGTATTGCCACTGTCCTGACACTACACACAGGGTGCCTCCCCCGCCCTCTGCAGGCTGAACTCCTGCTGGCACCCCAAGGCCACCTCACAAAGCTACAGCTGGACCTGGTGTGGCCCCTTACAGCACACAGCACCCCAAGGGCCCACAGGCTGTCAATGCAGGAAGAAGGCTGGGGTCATTGGCAAGAGGCCCAGAGTGTGGCTCACCTGTGCTCCCCAAGACCACGACTTTTCCACCCAGCCCACCTCCCTTTCAGTTGTAACTCAGCAGCCGCTGGGGGAGACAGAACTCTGAAATAACCCCAAGACTCCAAGCAACCCCAAAACAACCCCAAGATGACCTGAGTGTGAACATGATGACCAAGCCACATGACAGAACACAGGTGAATGGTTCCTGTAGACTTAACAGAGGTCCCCAACCAGCTGACCAAGTTCGTCAAAAGGGAGATTGCTCTAGATGGGATAGACATGATCAAGTGAGCCCATAAAAGGGGTGAGACCCCTCCTGGAGGGGTGGCCCCTAGGAACTCAAGCCAGCAGCACAGGGACCTGAGGGAGGGGCTGGGGGCCAGCAGGTGTGAACAGGGACCTGAGGGAGGGACTGGGGGCCAGCAGGTGTGAACAGGGACCTGAGGGAGGGACTGGGGGCCAGGAGGGGTGAACAGAGACCTGAGGGAGGGGCTGGGGGCCAGGAGGGGTGAACAGGGACCTGAGAGAGGGGCTGTGGGCCAGGAGGGGAACAGGGACCTGAGTGAGGGGCTGGGGGCCAGCAGGGTACGGGGACCTGAGAGAGGGGCTGGGGGCCAGCAGGGGAACAGGGACCTGAGGGAGGGGCTGGGGCCAGCAGGGTATGGGGACCAGAGGGAGGGGCTGGGGGCCAGCAGGGTACGGGGACCTGAGGGAGGGGCTAGGGGCCAGCAGGGTATGGGGACCTGAGGGAGGGGCTGGGGGCCAGCAGGGTATGGGGACCTGAGGGAGGGGCTGGGGGCCAGCAGGGATGAACAAGGACCTGAGGGAGGGGCTGGGGGCCAGGAGGGGTGAACAGGGACCTGAGGGAGGGGTTGGGGGCCAGCAGGGGTGAACAGGGACCTGAGGGAGGGGCTGGGGGCAGCAGGGTACGGGGACCTGAGGGAGGGGCTGGGGGCCAGCAGGGTACGGGGACCTGAGGGAGGGGCTGGGGGCCAGCAGGGGTGAACAGGGACCTGAGGGAGGGGCTGGGGGCAGCAGGGTACGGGGACCTGAGGGGGGCCACCTCAGGGAAATGGCTGAGGATACCATGAGGGGTATGGACACAAACCTCCCCTGGACAAGCCGGAGATGTGGACACAGCCTGGGCATAGGACGGCACTGGACGCCCTGATTTCACAGACAGTGAGGAAATCAATCTGTATTGCTCTAAACTGGGAAGTTGGTGATTTCTTACAAAGCAACGAGACACCAGCAGAGTACCCATGACGGGTGTCCAAGATATGCCAGCAGGCAGAGCCTGGCTCTCACCGGAACACCAGTTATGAAACTGGAAGGCAGAGAAGGAAAATCAGACCCCACGTGAGGCGTAAAGCCCTTCCACACGGCTGCCCCACTGCTGTTTGTAATCACCTCGGGGGAACAGCAGTGACCCCAGGGTCACAAGGCAGGCACTTGGGGTCTTAGCAGATGAGCAAACCTGCCTGGGAATACCACCGCCAGCATCTTGTGCCACAGGGACTCTGGCCCAGGCCTGGGAACTCCGGGTGGGGCGTAGCAGAGATGTGGTGGCAGAAGGGGAAGCAGAGGCTTTTCTAGCATTTGCTGACCGGAATTCCTTGGCTTCACGGAGCCTTCAGCTTCTGCAAACACCTTGTGCCAGGGCAGCCTGCACAGGATCCAGGACCAGCTCCACCACACCTGTGATGATGACCGGGAGCTGGCATCTTGGATCCATTCACAAGATGATGGCACAGAGTAACACAGTGCAGGACCGACTGCCACCTGGTCAGAACCAACACTTGTCTTATTTTACGAAGAGGGAAAACTCTTCCTGACAGGTGGGGCAGCCTGCCCATCTTAGGCCCTGATAAATCATTGCTCAGACTCAAAACACAAGGCTGTCAGCTCTGGAACCCATGCTCTTTCTCCCTCCGCCAAGCTGCCCCTTGGTAGCTCCTGGGACTCAGGCTGCCCTCTCTCTGCAGGGGTCTGACGTCAGCCTCTGATAAGCTGCAGGGGCTTCTCCACAAAGGAGCCAGGGCGGCTGTGCTCATCCCACCTGCCCCCTCCACCCTTAGCAGCCTCCCTTGGCCTGCAAGGGACTGGCACCCCAGCCCACCCCCAACCAAAGATGAGGAACTCATTGTCTCTTAAACAGGTCCTTATGCCTGGTATCACAGATTCCTTCTCTCTCGTGGTCAAAAAATGATCATTGTGCTTTCCAGGGTGCCGAAAAGAGTAATTTGTACTTTGACGGCCTTCGTCCACTACAGGTAAGTCTAAAGTCAATCACTGAGTCTGTGAGAAGTGATTTTTGTCAGAAACAGACAATCCCCTGCCCGTGCTTCCACCTGCTTGTTCACTCCCCATATGGCCACAAAAGCCAGGGCTGGGCTGGTATGAAGCCAGAAGACAGGAGCTTCTTAGAGGTCTTCCATGTGGATCCATGGGCCCAAGCACCTCGGGCCATCTTCCCAGGCACATTAGCAGGGAACTAGATTGGAAGTGGAGCAGCTGGGACTCCAATGGATGCCCATATGGGATGGTGGCATTGCAGATATGCCACTGTGTCACAGTGCAGGCCCCAATAAATAAATCTTTAATAAAAATAATTTTAGAATAGTGATAAATAATTAGAATCTATTGACTATGAACTAGTTGTTATAAAACCTATGGCACACAAACATTCCAAACAGATGCAGTGATTAAAAGTGACATTGAGGGGCAGGTTAAGTCTCCACTTACAGTGCTGTAATCCCATACGGGCACCAGTTCAAGTCCTGGGTATTCCACTTCCAATCCAGTTACCTGCTAATAGCCTAGGAAAGCAATGGAGGATAGCCCTAGTGCTTGGGCCCCTGCATCCATGTGGGAAATCTGGAGGAAGCTCCTGGCTCCTGGCTTTGGATTAACCTAGCTCCAGCTGTTGCAGCCATTTGGGGAATGAACCAGTGGATGAAAGACCTCTCTCTCTGTCTCTTCCACTCTAAATATGCCTCTCAAATAAATAAGCTTTAAAAAATAATAAAAGTGGCATTTATAAAAAAATCTTCATAATATGGAAAAGGCTTATGCTACTTCGAAAATCAGAATACAGATTTATAGAATAAATTTTTAAATTCAATCCAATTTTTAAAACGAATAAACAATACTAAATAGACACATAAAATGTTAAGTGTGCCTGTCTATGCACAGTTAAGATGCAGGATGAAGAATTATTTTTTCCTATCCATTTTTATTTTTCAAGATTTCTAAAAGGAAAATACATAATTTGTATTTGTGAACCACTGGATGGAAGATTGCTCTCTCTTTTTTCTGTCACTCATCCTCTTACATAAATAAACAAACATTTTTTTAAATGCTTCAACTTGAATTTTCAAAAAGCCAAAAAGCTTTACAAAGAAAACTTGGGGTCTGCTACAACCCTCCATCCGGGTACAGAATCCAGCACCATAAAAAGTCAGAGGTGGACAGAAGCTGCAAGGTGCCTTGGTTTGAATGCCGGGCATTCCTAGACCTGAGATGACCGTGGCAGCAGCGACAGACATCCAGGACAGTGCAAACTCGGGACACACACAGTCACTGCCATCCCTTCTCCACAGATTAGGAAGCCAAGGCTCAGAGACTCACCCCACGTCGGGGGTCTGCCACTCCTCCCCCACGTGCCCAGATTTCACTGCACTCCCCCCAGCACGCAGACACTGCCTAAGCAGCCATCATCCTGTGAGGAAGACCCTCCCTGACACCACTCAGCGAGATTCCATCTCTTGAAGAGAAACATCAGTCCTCTAACTCCTGGATCTCACTCTGCCTGGGTTATTAAACCTTCAGAAAAGACAATGTGAAGTCGTTCAGCTCCACACAGACTGCCCGACTTACAGGGAAAGAAAGACAGCAGGATCCCTGTCCCCATGAGTGCACAACACAGGGAGAGATCAGCTAGCTAAGGGACACTAGGAGCCTAACGAAATGCTCTCATTGAGATCTCAGCCAGGTAATCAAAAGGAGAGGAGGAAGAATCCCCTGACTTCTTAACAGCAGGGGAGCTGGGGAAAGGAGCAGCCCAGAGCTTCTGCTCAGGCAGGAACAGCACCAACTACATGACCTGCTCCAAGAACCAAAAATGCCCAGTAAGCCAAATACTCACTATGTAGATGAGGAAGACTGGAAGCGACCCTGGGGCTCCGGACGCTGGATGCCTCAGTGTGCAGATGCGTCCCTGGGCACCATGGCGACGGCCATTGGCGAGTGCGCCTGCGCCTGGCGCTGTGACCCGGAAGTGCACCCGCACGCCTGACCCCAACTCCGCGGTGCTCAGGTGAGAGTCAGCGCCGCATCCTCTCCTGCCCGAGAACCTGTGAAAGCCAGGAGGAGAGGAGCTGTCCTCGACGCTGCTGGCCAAGCCTGAGCCTGAGGGAGAACCAGCGGCCCCAGGGTCAGGCGAGGGTGCGGGTTCGAGGCTATCGCGCCATTTCCCAGGCGCGGTTCTCTTCTTCGTCCCCTTCCGGAAGCAACGGCCTTCACGGACCTCAGTGCCGCCAAGCAGACCAGGTGCCCTTGGAGGTGAGTGACGCGCGGCTTTTGCGGTTTCCTTCTGGGGATCTTGGCTGCAGGCGTGCCTGTTGTTCTTGGGTCCCAAAGGTGCCGGTGGAGTCGCGGTTGTGCTGTGCGGATGGACTGGAAGGGTCCCCAGGGTGCGAGCAGCTGTACAAGAGCAGAGTTGGCTCGGTGTCCTCCCGGAATGGCCCTGCATTCCCGTCTGTTTGCTCTTTGAGGACCCAGCTACCCTGCTCTAGACCGCTGAGAGTGTTGTCAGGAGGAAGGAGAGCAAAAGTGCTTGTCTGTGTCCTGGTTTAGGAGGACAGTTTGAAGGTAAAATTGGGTTTATGGATCCGATGTCTGTATTCTGTATTATATACCTGTAGAGCAATACAGTTTCTCGTGTGCAATGAGTCCTGTCAACATTGAAAACTGTATGGGTGTACCCACTACTGGGAACATATTGAAGGAAATGAAATCATTGTGTAGACAGAGAGGTTTTCACAGGCCTATGCTTATTGCAGTAGGATGCACAAAAGCCAGGCTATACAGTCTGCAGACGCATGTATGGTGTCCATAGCCCATAATGTCTTTATTCAGTCTTGAGGTGATCGGCATTTTGGCTGATGGCTTATCTTTGCTCTTGTGAATTGAGCTGTAGTAAATATGGGGGCAGAGAGAACTCTTTTTTTGTATGCCGATTTCATTTCCCTTGGGTATATACCCTGGGCTGGAATGGCTTGCTCCTATGGTACGTCTATATTCAGATTTCTCATGTATCTCCATTGTATCTTCCACAGTGGTGATTTCAGTTTATATTCCCACCAGCAGTGGATTAGGGTGCCTTTTTCCCCACATCCTCAAGGCCGTTGTCATATCAATTTGCATTTCCCTGACGCCTAGTGATCCTGAGCATTTCTGCATGTGTTTGTTGGCCATTTAGATTTTCTTTCTAGAAATATGCCTGTTGAAGCTCCTTGCCCATTTCTTGAGTGGGTGGTTTGTTTTGCTGTTATTGAGTTTCTTGAAAGTTTCTGGTAGTTTATCTTTTATCAGTTGCATACTTTGCATATAATTTCTCCCATTCCGATAGTTTCCTCTTTACTTTGCTGAGTGTTTCTTTTGCAGAGCAGAAGCTTCTCAGTTTGTTTGTTTGTATGTTTTGGTGTTCTCATCTATTTCTTTGTTTAGTCTTTGTGATTCTCAGGTATTGAACCTCCTTCGTTAAAGTTATCCCAAAGTCCTTTATTTTCTTTGTAGCTATGTGACGGTACTGGTCTTAGAAGTGCTTTCTCAGCCATGACATTGTCTATGTATACAAATAGGATGTTGAGTTTCTATCCTGGCACTTTACCAAACTCTACTCTGAGTTTCAATAGTCTCTTAGAGTAGTCTTTTGGATCACCTATATATAGAGTCATGTGATCTGCAATTGGGGATAGTTGGACTTACTCTCTCAATTTTATCTAATATTGAGAAATGAGAGAAAATATACCAGCATGATAACATGCACATAGAAAATGGCAACAGTGACCTCAGATGCTACCTCTCTGTATTCGATCTTTCTTTGTGGAAGACTTGATTTGGCCTGTTTCCAACATGATCCATGCTTTAAATGCAGGGCTAGACTGTGCAAGGTGGTGACTAGGAAGTAGACCTGTGTTCTGTGGAGAACTCCGTAGATCACAGGTGTTTCAAGTCCTTGTGTGAGTGGGTACATAAGTGTCTGAAAAAAATATATTACTAAGATTACCTCATGCGCAAGTCAGAGATAATACCACACAGAATGTTTGTAAGGAAAAAGAGAATGAATGGGCACCAAAATTTTTTCTTCTAAGACCAAGTTAAACTTTTTTTCAAATTCTGTGTTAATAGGTTAGGTAATGCATATAAAATCAAATTCTAAATAAACTCTTGTAATGCCCTTGATGTATTATTTTATTTATTGGTATGTTTTCCTTTTTGAATAAAAAAATGCCTTTTTTAAAAGATATTTTTTATTTATTTGAAATTAGGATTTACACACACACACAGAGAGAGAGAGAGAGAGAGGAGGAGAGAGAGAGAGAGAGGGAGAGAGAGAGGTCTGCCATCTGCTGGTCCATGCTGCAGTTGGCTGCAAGGGACAGAGCTTATTGTATCCTGAGGCAGGACCCAGGGGTTGGGGGCCCTGAAAAGCATTTATAGGTCAATTTTTCACTGACTAATTTTTGCTCACTGTTTCCTATGATTTGTTATTTGTCTTTGTGAACCCCCCCCCCACCTCCCTGTGACCTGATAATCTTGGAATTCATTTTGGAAATGAAAGGCGGGTCAACCTCTCTGGGTTCTACTTTGGTGAATGCCACAGGCAATCACTTTTTCACAGTGGGGCTTTTGCTCCATACACGTTATTCTCATTTTCACATGCAGAAGTTGGGGCTCAGAGAGGCTGAGTGACTTGCCCCTGGTGACACAGCATGATGCTGCCTGTGTTGCGTAATTGGGGAGTGAGTCCTTGTGAGCAGAGAAGTGAGGCTGGTGGGGCAGAATGAGTCCCAAGGCACCAGCAGGAGTGTCCTCATGGGACCTCTCTGAATCTGACCTTATGCAGCTTCCTCCTCTGCCCCATCCATGCTGGCCTCTCAGGTTCGTGATGGTGCCAAGTTCTCTTTCACTTCGGGGCACTTACATTGCTTTTCTTTCTTGATTGTTTCTGTCCTTGAACTTGTGCCATGAAACTGAGGAACACACCACATTTCCAGGTGGTTAAGAGTTTGGTATCTGCGGGAGATGTCGTGGAAAGATGAGTTTCCAAGCCTCATGTTCCTCTTCTGTTACAATGGGGCAATGATAGATTCTACCTCACAGGGTCATTGGAACGGATTCCAGGAGGGCTGATGCTCAGTAGGCGTTCAATACACAGGTGTTGAGTGCGCCCATGTTGGACTAATCCATTTACATAGTCCCCAGGCCCCATGGCTGCCCTGGAGTTGGGAAAGCACAGTTGTGCCCTTGTCCCTCCCGCCCATCCAGTGGCCATAGGTCTGCTTCTGTGGGGGCCTGGCAGCCCTGTGTCCTCTTCCAGCAGTTCTCCCAGCCTGTTTCAGTCACAGCCTGTGAGGGTCGATGAGATGTTCATGAGTGAGAAGCTGCTTGGTGAACTTTTTAGCACATAGTTGGAGGTGGGAGCAAGAAGCCAGGGACCAAGCAGCATTGAGCATGTGCAGCAGAAATGCAGGGGCCTGAGCAAGACCTGCAGCAGCTCCGTCATGTGTCCAGACTCTGTTGCTGTTCTGGTCCTACTGAGATAATTTTGTCTGAAAATCTGTGGTTACGATGTCTGATTGGTACAGGACTCATGTGGTATGATTCTGCATTTTTATGGAATCATGGAATCTGCATCTGTGTTGTTTACATGAATACCCTGTAAATCCTTGGCTGCTGGTACTTTTTAAAGATCTCTGAGTTAAAGATAGTTATCCAGTTGGCTGCTTTTGGTCTTTTTGCACTAGTAGGGCACTTTTTGCACTAGTAGTGTGTGTTCGTGTGTGTGTGCATGTGTAGGAGCTGTACTGCTGGAGTTCTTCACAGCAGGAATGGTGCAGGTTTCTGCAGTGCTTCAGGGCTCCCAGAGTGTTTCAAAGGCAGTTGGGGAGATCTGGTCAGCATCTCCAGGGAAGCAGCCCACATTTGAGATGTAGCTCTTACCTTAGAAGAGATGGGCCTTGGGAAATAGTGCCATGTGGGAGTGGAAGAATATCAGTGCAGGGAATGAGAAGTACAGACCTGAGGAATACAGATGATGTTTTCTTTTCTTCCTTTTTAAAATACATACATATTTATTAATTTGAAAGGCACAGTGAGAGAGGGAGAGAGAGAAATAGAAATAGATACAGATATTACCCATGCACTGGTTCACTCCCCCAATGCCTACAACTTAGGGCTGGGCCAGGCTCAAGCCAAGAGCCTGGAATTCCATCTTGGTTTCCCTCTTGGGGGTGAGAACTCAAGTACTTGAATCTTCATGTGCTATTTCCCAGGTGCATTGGTGGGGAGCTGGATAGGAAGTGGAATCACTGGGTCTTGAGCTGCTGCTCTGATCAGATGTGGACGTTCCAAGTGGTGGCTTAACCTGCTACATCACAACCTGCCCTTTCTGTGCTTTTAATACCTATAGGAGACATAATTTTATGGAAGAACCAATCTATTCATCTTTGCTTTCTTCTTCCCCTTCTGAAAGGGGAAAATGGCCAATGTTTTAGGCATATTTGTTTATGATAGTCAAAGTAAATCTTACCTTTTTCTTGGTCATTCATTCTTCTAGCAACATTTGAATACATAGGATGTGCTGAACCCTGGAGTTACAGAGTTAGACTAGTGTTCTTGTGGAGTTTGAGGCTTTTTGGGAAAGATTTGTGGAAAAACTATACATTAGAATGACAGTTTAGGGTGGCATTGTGGCATAGCAGGTAAAGCTGCTGCCTTTGACACTGGTATCCCGTGTAGGGAGCCTGTTTGAGTCCTGGCTGCTGGCTGCTCTGCTTTTGATCCAGCTGCCTGCTGTGGCCTGGAAAAGCAGTGGAAGGTGGCCCAAGTCCCTGGGCCCCTGCACCTGCGCTTATGTGGGAGATCTAGAAGAGGCCTCTGGCTTCAGATCAGCCCAGCTCCAGCCATTGCAGCCATTTGGGGAATGAACCAGCAGATAGATCTCTCTTTGTCTCTCCCTCTCTTT